TGAAACTCATTTCTATTTGCAGGTTTTCTAGTGAGCATATGTGGGTACATCCTACCATTTATCAGCCGCAACACACTGATGTCACAAGTCCCCTGCCTCATTAAAAGACAGTGAGCCAACTGAAAGACAACTCCTTTCTCCCTAGGGGCATCTGAACATATGGTGCAGGAATAATATGGTTAATTTTGAAACAGTCAGATCTGAGAAGAGGCTAAGCAGTTAGGCAAAAAGTGGGTAATACAGCTTTGACTATATAGAGACCTAGCTCTTGTGCCAGACAGTTTTGCTGTTTTGACAATCGTATTGGTGGACTACATCTTCAAGCTTTGCAAAATTTCTTTCACATTGAGGAAACAAAGATAAAAAGTTACGATACTAAAAACTTCAGTGAACAATAAGAACAGAAGCGTGATCCTGCTTCAACGTGGAAACATCTCAGAGCTTCACAGAAATCAGCAACTGAATATAGAATGCGGGCATGCTTAGACAGTGTAACATTGATGTAGGAGCGTTGTGTCATCAGGGTGTTTTTTACTGTCAAAAACACAATGACAGAAGCAGAGAAAGTGGTTGATTAACTCTTTAGGGGTCTAATATGCCACATTAAACAACTGTTCACAAATTCCACAATACAGAGTTATGTTTGCCATTGCCCAGTTCACAGTCAAAGCCAGAGTACGAAAAGTGCTGGTTGCTATCATGCCATCACTCTTACCTCTTTGTCTTGATATCAAAAATACGGTGCCAATTCCTGTGGTTCAGACTGCTTTTTGCTAGAACAGATAGTTTTTGGAATGTCTGCAAGTCAGAGTCAAACCTCCCACCAATTGGTTCACCCTTTTGCACAGGGAAGCTGGTATTGTGTCTCAAGAAAGCTATCAGTCTGTATAGTTTTTTACCAAGCTAAGGAAATCCAGCTTTAAGAAGAAAATAGTCACTAAAACTTTTATACTTGAATGCAGACCTTTAGCGTTTTGTTCAGAATGGTCCTCTAGCGAACACAGAGAAAACAGTATCTCTTGGGACAGCAATTGAGAAGCTTTCAGAAGCATTGAGAATGCAACTATTCATTGTTTCTGGAAACAAATAAATGCTCAGTGTTTGGTGACACCATATATTCAATGAAAATAAAATGACTCTTGATTTTCATTAATTGTTTTTAAGATGCCACGTTCCCTGCTGAGTATTAAATTGATTCTTTTTGTAAAGGTTAACTGGAAAGCACTAAAGTTCTCTAACATGGAACGTGGCTTCATTGCCACAAATAAAACAGCTCTGTTCTACTGTATCATGACATGGTGTCATACTGATGTAAGTAATGTAATAGAGTGGATAGCAGCACTCTCCTGTCTGCTTAATACTGTAAGTTCAAACTTTTGCATGAGGAAGAGGCCAAAATAGAACGTTTAACCAGTACTTCTTAAAACAAACTTTCCCTTCTGTTTCAGATGTATAAGCTAGTTACTTTATTAATAACTCAAATGCTGGAAAGAGGTTTCAGAGTGCTCTTCCTACAATATTTGCACAATTAAAGCATATTACCCAATGGGAAAGTGTTTCTGCAGCTGGAAAAAAAGGCATTGGGGTGGAATAAATGGAACAGAGCTCTTTCTCCCTCCGTACCAGCTGTAAAGTAAGGCAAATGCTGGGACAGAGAGTCTCACATTCAGTTACTTGCTTTAACCTCTTCCACAACATACCAAGAAATGGGAGTGACAGATTTTGTTGTCCAGAAACAGCTGTTGTGCTTCAACTTTTTATGCACACGGGTATGAGTGTCTACACATATGTAAAGGCATGTATATGTACCCAGCATGTTTCCACACACTCATACCTTGATTGAGAATGCCTACCTGTAATTTTTTCAGTCACCTGCAGCCTGCAAGCAGTTCAAGCACAGCTCCAGCACCAGGGTTATGTTTTGTTACCAGCAGAAGGGCTGCAATAACACATGGGCAGTCCAAATCCCTGAGAAGAAAGAAGACAGCTGGGGATACTGAACCTGGTATCACTGGATTGCACTGACCAAGTTGTGTACTGGAGTGGGAACCTGGAAGCAGAGTGACACCTGGAAGCCATTTCCTGCTTGTGAAATGATCTCCCTCCCCCGCCTCAAAGATATGCCATGTGGCTTTTGGCCATAGCAATTTTTTGGATTTTTAATATCAGGCAGGTTCACTTTAAAGGCACAAATCCAGCTCTTTCCTTAAATATAAAACTTCCAAAGACCAAATTTTTCCTCCTGATGCTTTTTTCAATCTCGTCTGACTTCAAATTTTTCCAACTCTGAGAAAGTCTTCACAATTTCATCTCAGAACTGGCAAATGAACTTAAAGAGATTAGAAACTGGCTAGGTGCTGGGCCTGAGCTTTCATACTGCCAATGCCAGAGCCACTGACGGTTGCTTTCTGGCTGTACCTCACTGACACGCAACAGTTTAAGATTTCTCCTGCTCCCCGCCCTGTTTTAAATACTTGAAATTTCCTTGGCTATGTAAAATAAGAACATATTTTGTCCATGAGAATGTCTTTGAGCAGTATCTTTTCTATCATTCCGGTTTCTCTTGTGCATTGTATTCTTGCCAGGAGACAACTCCTGACTCTTTTTGCCTCTGGAAACATTTCATTTGGCAGAATGGTCTCTCTGTTTTAGCTATTGGGTGAGAAAGATCTTGACCCCCCCCCCCCCCCCGGACGACAAACCCAGCCACTGAATTCAAAGGTGCCAGGATCTTCACCTACTGTCTTTTAAAAAAATACTTAAGAAGAGAAACATGCAATGGTTTGTCAGTTTGAAAATGCTGCAGCCCTTTCTCAACTTTTTCTGTTGAGCTGTTGGTCTTAGGAAAATGATAGGAGAAGGTGGAGCACTCTTGTATCTCTGATAGAAGAATATAAATAACTTCTGAATCAGTTATTTGGTTTTTTGCTAAAGGAAATCTCAGGATGAGAATTTCCTGAAGGAAACTGAAGTCTAGAAAGTTTTGAAAACAAATTTAGAGTTAAATGTTAGAAGGTCAATAAATGTTTTTGCACAATCTCATTCAAGATCCCACTCAAATATTTATCAAGGCTTCGAAAGATTTCTTTTTAAAGACATCTGTTTAAAGTCATTAATTTCATTAACTCCTTTAAAAAAAAACACTATTGCAATAACCATAAGATTTTAATAACTGCTTTTCATCCCTTTACCTGTGATCCATTACTGTGAAGTTTGACTCTAGGTTTAACCTCCAAATTTTGCTGGGGAAGGTGGGTCTTTGTAGGAAACTGTCACCTTTAGAAGTATGAGTAATAACATTAAGTGTAAGTGGTTGAGGCACAGCAAGGGCGGACTGCACCCTAAAGGCCAGGGAGCAATAGCAGGGCCAGCAGGGCAAGGGCCTTGCTAGCCAGGCTGGTGCCACAGTACGAGAGCAAGGGAGCAGAGCAGGCCCAGGGGTGGCAGCTGAGAGTCCAGGTCATCAGGCAAGTTTGTAGTGATGAAGCAGATCCAAGGGCAAGCCAGG